TAAAATCATTGCAGTTCATATTGGGAGTCGAGTCGTTAGTGTGGTTAATAATAACTTCATAATGAACTGCGTCTGAAAGCAGAAGTCCGGGGCAAATAATCTCAAATCTCGTCAGTGTCACAGAATGAGATGCATTGTGGGACATGTAGTTTGCGGGCAGCGGGCTCCTGTAAAGCGGCATGTAACCGTATAATAAACGTATTATATTCTTTCAGAGCTCGTACAGAATATGAAGCGTTTAGTTTGACCCGATATAAATGGAAGAGAGGTAAACTCGTAAAGATATGTGCAAAGTTTTCATGACTTTTTATCAAATATCTATCATTTAAAAAAAAAAATGTAATGTAATGTAAAAATGTTTTGACAAATATTGGTCCTTTTATATGAATTTCTTCATATATGTATCCTTTAATTTGAGTTTGACCCCCTCCCTCACATAATGCACACCAAACAGACGAGTTAAAGTGATAATGAAACTTTTTAATCTCATTTCAGTTCGTACAAATCGCGCGAGAGACAAACCAACAACTGATTCAGTCTTGAGTCTCTGGAGGAAACAGGAAGTGGAAGCCGATGCAGAATATTCTTCGCTCTCGTTCCGTCCAGCATCAACGCTTGGATAGAAATGATTTTAAAAAAAGTGTAAATCAATAGGAACCTCTTACGATGGGACGCCCAAATCAATCCAGAGATCAGAGTTTCATATTCATCGAGGGTCCAAAGTGGCTTTACATGAGCGAGGGTCTAATCAACGGGTAGAGCTGCACAATTATAATTAAAATGAGAAAAACAATCTGTTTGTGTAGTGTTAAACTAAAGAAACACCACACGAACGATCCACATCAAAATATGTTTTAGGGAGGAGTTATAATCTATATATAACCTCAGAGAAGATTTGTTCTTTTTGATCTTGTAGATTTACCAGAAAACATCAAAGTTAACGACTTAAATCTGGTAAATGTACAGCTGCATTTGTAAATTTAATCACAGAAAATGTTAATTTAAATCTTGTACATGAACCTCCTCTGCTGACTCACCTTCATTTCTCCCTGAATGGCTCTTAATACTCAGTGACGTCGCTAACGAAACTACAACTCCTACCTCAGAGGGAAGGCAGCAGGAAGGATGATGACTATTTAAAAGTGTGCAGCTCTCCCGTTCAGATACTCTACGTCTGCTGTGTTAGGGAGAGTAGGGTCTCCAGATCATAGAAACTGCTGGATTTTATACAATTAGCACAAGTTGCGTTAATTAGTAAGCATATGGAGACGATAGCAAAAAGATGGCGTGGCCGATTTGGCTTTTTTAGGAGGTCATTAAATCAATGTCGGATATTTTTAGGATCACTAATAGCAGTTTGGAGTGGCCTAGAACTTTCAAATCAAACCAAAATATGTCAAAATCTGCTTAAAAAGTACAAATATGGGCACTTTTGGGTTAAAATAGCTATTGATCCTGAAAATGTCAGAAATGGACTAAAAACTGTCCAAATCTGCCAAGCCATTGTTTAACTATTGTCTGCATTTGCTAATTAATGCTAATTGTGTAAAAGTCTCAACATATACTGCAGGGATGCTCTACAACCCCTTAGCTCCACGTCTTCAGAGGACTTGAATATTTGTAATTCGTTGCTCTACTACGTTCCCTCGAGATGTCCTCTTTTCCTGGGGCTCGTCGCTATGTCCTGAGAGCTCGTGGTTATGTCCCGAGAGCTCGTGGTTATGTCCAGAGAGCTCGTCGCTATGTCCCGAGAGCTCGTGGTTATGTCCAGAGAGCTCGTGGTTATGTCCAGAGAGCTCGTCGCTATGTCCCGAGAGCTCGTGGTTATGTCCAGAGAGCTCGTGGTTATGTCCAGAGAGCTCGTCGCTATGTCCCGAGAGCTCGTGGTTATGTCCAGAGAGCTCGTGGTTATGTCCCGAGAGCTCGTGGTTATGTCCAGAGAGCTCGTCGCTATGTCCCGAGAGCTCGTGGTTATGTCCAGAGAGCTCGTGGTTATGTCCAGAGAGCTCGTGGTTATGTCCCGAGAGCTCTTCGCTATATCCCGAGAGCTCGTGGTTATGTCCAGAGAGCTCGTGGTTATGTCCAGAGAGCTCGTGGTTATGTCCCAAGAGCTCGTGGTTATGTTCAGAGAGCTTGTGGTTATGTCCCGAGAGCTCGTTGTTATGTCCCGAGAGCTTGTGGTTATGTCCAGAGAGCTTGTCGCTATGTCCAGAGAGCTCGTGGTTATGTCCAGAGAGCTCGTGGTTATGTCCAGAGAGCTCGTGGTTATGTCCAGAGAGCTCGTGGTTATGTCCAGAGAGCTCGTGGTTATGTCCAGAGAGCTCGTGGTTATGTCCAGAGAGCTCGTGGTTATGTCCAGAGAGCTCGTGGTTATGTCCAGAGAGCTCGTGGTTATATCCCGGTCGCTCTTTGCTCTACATGCTCCAGAGCTACCCTCTAGTCATCGGTGGAGCTCGTCCCTCTACATCCTGCAGCTTAATGTCCCAGAGCTCGCTGCTTTGTCCCAGTCGATCTCCACTGTAGGACCAAACGGCTATTTGCTCTACATGCCCCGAGCGTCCTCTTTATGTCTCTTTCTGCTCTACTTGAGGGCGTTGAGGTGTCCTGAATGCACCACAGAGTTCATCTCTTTACGTCCTTTTTACACCGGGCTTCTTTGTGTCCTCATTATGTCTCTTTACACCGGGCCTGTTTATGTCTTTACGTCTCTTTGCGCTCTACATGAGGGCGTTGAGGTGTCCTGAATGCCCCACAGAGTTCATCATCAGCGCCCTCTGATCCAGCGCCTCTCTCTCTCGCCCGAGCGTCTCCCTCTCTCTCTCCAGCCACAGTCTCTCCGTCTGCACCGTCGCTCTCTCTCTCTCCACGGTCGCTCTCTCTCTCTCCACCGTCGCTCTCTCTCTCTCCACCATCTCCCTCTCTCTCTCCAGCGCCTCCCTCTCTCTCTCCACCATCTCCCACTCTCTCTCCAGGCCTCCCAGCTGAGCCTCGTTCGCCCCAGAGTCGCCTCCATCGTCGCCTCCATCGTCGCCTCCATCGTCGCCTCCATCGTCGCCTCCATCGTCGCCACCAAACGCCTCATCTACGAAGTCTGTGGAGGATTGAGGAAGAGGAGGAGGAAGAGGAAGGGGAGGAAGGGAGGAGCGAGGACGATGTTTTGGGGAGGGATGGTCGTCGTCGTCATGGGTTACGGGGGTGAGGAGGGGGGCGCTGCTCGTCAGACGGCCCTCCATGGCGTCGTTCATCAACTGGAACCACGGCCAGGAGGAGGCGCTGTCCGACATGTTCTCCATCCCAACAGGAGGGTACTTTAGGTCCTGGAGGGGGAGGAGGAGAGGGAGGAAGAGCAGGAGGGGGAGGAAGAGGAGGGGGAGGAAGAGAGAGGTTAGGAAAAGAGGTCGACCAAACTCCAAACTACTTTACAGTTGTTGTTGTTGTTGTTGTTGTGAACGCACCTTATATCTCCTCTTCAGATTGTCCCATTTCTTGGCCATCTGATAGGTCGAGACTTTCCCCTGCAACCCGATCTCCCTGATGATCGCCCTGAACACACACATTCAGACAGGTGAACACACACATTCGGACAGGTGAACACACACACATTCGGACAGGTGAACACACACATTCAGACAGGTGAACACACACATTTGGACAGGTGAACACACACATTCAGACAGGAGAACACACACACATTCGGACAGGTGAACACACACACACATTCAGACAGGTGAACACACACATTCGGACAGGTGAACACACACATTCGGACAGGTGAACACACACATTCGGACAGGTGAACACACACATTCAGACAGGTGAACACACACATTCGGACAGGTGAACACACACACATTTAGACAGGTGAACACACACATTCGGACAGGTGAACACACACACATTTAGACAGGTGAACACACATTCGGACAGGTGAACACACATTCGGACAGGTGAACACACACATTCGGTTAGGTGAACACACACATTCGGACAGGTGAAAACACACACTCGGACAAGTGAACACACACATTCGGACAGGTGAACACACACATTCGGACAGGTGAACACACACACTCGGACAGGTGAACACACACATTTGGAAAGGTGAACACACACATTCGGACAGGTGAACACACATTCAGACAGGTGAACACACACATTTAGACAGGTGAACACACATTCGGACAGGTAAACACACATTCGGACAGGTGAACACACACATTCAGACAGGTGAACACACACATTCGGACAGGTGAACACACACATTCGGACAGGTACACACACACATTCGGACAGGTGAACACACACATTCGGACAGGTGAACACACACATTCGGACACACACACACATTCGGACAGGTGAACACACACATTCGGACACACACACACACATTCGGACAGGTGAACACACACATTCGGACAGGTGAACACACACATTCCATCACAGCTGCCTCTTACTTCCATGCAGCTTTAGCAGCGTTCCTCCTGCCGGTGAACAGCGCCTCGTTAGCGGCTCTCAGTCTGATCATCTTCCTCGTGTCCTGGTCCGTCACTGAGGGGAACACGCATCTCATTATTAAAACACCAATATCAACTATCTATTTTCTATTATATATACTAATTTAATATTAGGGAATAATCACATACGTTCATTTACATCTTTAATCTCTGGGACACAAAGATGACCCAACCTGGGATCAGTGAAGTACATCTTCTCTTACTCTTCTCTGACGGCGTGGAGCACAAAGAAACACGTAATTTTACCTTTTTCTCAGAACTTGGCTTTTTCTATATTTTCTTACTCTTACTCAGAAGTTCATTTATTTATTTATTTTTGTGTGGTCTTCTCTCAGAATTTGACTTTTCTCAGATTTTGATTTGAATCTTTTTATTATTTCACTGTTTTCCTAATTTTACCTTTTTCTCAGAACTTGGATCTTCTCTTACTTTTATAGGAGTTTTCTGAGGGCGTGGAGCACTCCTCTCCGCTGGCGTCGATGTACGTCACGTTCCCGTCGGCGGCGTCGCCCCCCCCCATGGACTCCAGCTCGGACACGCTGCCCCTCCCCTCCAGCAGGCACTCCCTCTCGGGGGGGGGAGGAGGGGGAGGAAGGGGGGAGGAAACAAAGATGGCGTCCTCCTCGCTGCTCCACACCGGCGTCACACGGGCAGCCTTCCCTGCCAGACGGCCCTCCAGAGCGTCACCCATCAGGGAGAACCAGGGCCAGGAGGCGGGGGGCGTCTGGCCCTCCATGCCCCGCGGAGGGAACTTCAGGTCCTAAACACACAGATGAACACTTTAGCCGCGTTCACACTAGGGATGCCAGTGATTATTCGATTATTCGAATATTCGTTACAGTCTCCATAATCGAATATTATTTTTAAAAATCGATTTTATTTATATATATTTTTATTATTATTTATGTTTTTTTTTTTTTTTTTTCTGGCTTAGTTTCAACCAAAATATAGACTAATGCTAATAATAGTAATAGTATTAACAATTGTAAATGGCCATTGGTCACACCACCAGTTTGTTTTACTGTAAACTTGGAGGAAGCCTGCGTGCAGAGCAGACTGCTGCTGCAGCACGCTGCACACCGACCCCGCCCCCATCCCCCCTCTCCCTCACACGTGCGACTAAAGATGAACAAAGCGGCAGGTAAAAAGAGTTCCTCCTCGTGGAACTACTTCGAACTTACAAGTCCAAAGGAAGTTAAATGCAAGCTCTGCGAAAAGACCTTGGTCTATCACAGCTCAACCTCAACAATGCGTTCGCATTTGAGTGCGAAGCACGCCAAAGAGGTGATGACAGAAAACAACGGAATTCCTTTTGTCTGAGTTTTTTTTTCTTTTTTTCCTCTCTCTCCCGCGGGGGGGTGGGGGGGGTGGTGGTCGGTCGAATAATCGATTATTATTCGCCAGGGCTGCCGAATAATCGATTTTGATCATGGTCAGTTTCTGGCAACCCTAGTTCACACCAAGTACTTTGCAGCACTTAGCTCCCAGCACTTATCTCCCAGCACTTAGCTCCCAGCACTTAGTTCCCAGCACTTAGTTCCCAGCACTTAGCTCCCAGCACTTAGCTCCCAGCACTTAGTTCCCAGCACTTAGCTCCCAGCACTTAGTTCCCAGCACTTAGCTCCCAGCACTTAGCTCCCAGCACTTAGTTCCCAGCACTTAGCTCCCAGCACTTAGCTCCCCTATGGATCTAAGAGCCGATCGCGTTCACACCGGAATAAGTCCCTGAGGGAAGATTACGCAAAAGAGCCGCTGACGTCACTTCTTCTTCTTCTGGTTTACTGGCAGGCCACAAACAACTTCACGGCGTATACTGCCACCCGGAGTACCCGGCCGGAAGTCCCCGGAGTTGGGGACTGGCTTCTTGCTACTGAAGCCTTCCGAGTAAATCGCCAGAACGCCGACACCTAATGCTAATGCGAGGATAATAAAATGGTGGCTCTACAAAACATTTCAGAGTTTTACGGGGCGTGGTTTGCAATTCGCCCAGCCAATCAGAACTGGAGCACTTTTCCCCCCCAGGAGAGAACCACCTCTCAGCAGGCACTGAACATGGGGGTCAAAGTTCCCGGCACTAAGTCCTCTTTTTGGTGTGAACGCGACATCAGGGGTGCTAACGGAACTAAAGTGGGAAAGTACGGGGTAAAGTACTCCGGTGTGAACGCGCCTATTTAATCTAAAATAATAATAATATATTTGTTTTACTTTTCAATTTTTTCTCAAATGTTTGCTTTGATCTCCGAATTTCAATTTTTGATTTTTTTTTCAAATAATTAAATTTTTTGACTTTTTTTCTCCGAATTTTTACATTTTCGCTTTGATCTCTGAATTTGAATTTTTTTCTAAGAATTTCAATTGTTTACTTTTTTCTCAGAATTGTAACTTTTTTCTCAAATGTTCGCTTTAAGGCGAGACACCCCAGGTGAATAGGGTAATTTTTTTAACTTAAAGGTATCAGCTAGAAATGTCTCCAGTTAATTACTTACAATAAGGCAATTGTCTTTTGTATTACAAGTTTTCTGAAATAGCATGTTTAAATATACAAATTATCCATTATCTCATTAAATATGCACATATTTTAACACATTTCAGGAATCGAAATCTGAACTTTGGATATAGCCAGATTCAAAATTATTGTTTCATTTTGTAGTCATATTAGTATCTAAGGCTTTTACAGAAGGGATTTTGGATATCTCTTGTTTTCACTCGATAAATCAGAAAATACTGTCAACAGCCCTAAAATATCAATTGTCGCCATGTTTTTAGGTATACAATGTTGTATAATTCAGGCTATGAATTATATATGACCCTGAACCCTTATGTAAAAGCCTTCATAATATTGATAGGAATATAACTGGAAGGTTTGGTGTATGTACGTACTACTGAAGTTGAGATTTCGAACTCAGAGTAGGAGAAGCGCTAGCGCCAGTGAGGCGCTAGCTAAACCCTCCTGTTCTTTGGATGACAGCTTGCACATCGACGCCCTCCGTGAAGGTATTTCATGTTCAGGGTCATTTTTTTTATATAACCTTGCTTCGTGCAAGTGACAATTGTTGTCGTCTTCTCTGTGAACGTTTTTTTCGCCGTTCTTTTGCCATTTTGAGATTTCAATTTCTAGCGGAAAGCTAACCAGGAAGTGTTTTAGCACACCACGTGACGCATCTGAACGAATCACGTTGTCAGAAGTTGACACCAGCCAATGAGAGTTCGTTTCTTGGTTTAAGACCCCTTTGTGCTTTCACGATTGGTTGCTGATACAAAGGAAATGACCATATTTGGATCCGATGAGATTGTGCAGGAGAGACACAGCTTTCCAGCGATACCTCTGTTGACATGGTGCACACAGCGGTCGCGGTACTTTATGTTACGTTAGAATGCTAACTTTTGGTGAATTTAGGAGAAACCTACAGACGCAAATAGACAAACTATAGTAACATAAACACTTAAATGTGTATTTTGTACGTTTTCCTTCCAAAAGCCTGAAAGAAAACATGTTATGGAATCAAAATAGCACAACATCTCAAAATTGACCAGTACTTGAAAAACGATGTTTTTGCCTGCCGTGTCTCGCCTTAATCTTAGAACTTCATTTTTTGACTTTTTTCTAAGAATCTCCATTTTTGAGACGGGATGAGGCGCTCACCTTGAATTTGGTCTTCAGGTTGTCCCACTTCTTGGCCACCTGATCCGGAGTGATCTTCCCCGTCAGACCCATCTCCTTCACGATGCCCCTGAGCACAGAGAGGAACCGTGAGAGGAACCGTGAGAGGAACCGTGAGAGGAACCGTGAGAGGAACCGTGAGAGGAACCGTGAGAGGAACAGTGAGAGGAACAGTGAGAGGAAATGTGAGAGGAAATGTGAGAGGATGTCTCACCTCCATGCAGGCTTGGCCGTGTTCCTCCTGCCGGTGAACAGAGACTCGTTTGAAGATCGCAGCTCAATCAGCCTCCGGATGTCTTCTTCTGTCACTGAAATGAAGGTAGAAGAACTCGGATGAGCTGCAGGTAAACATCTCTTAACCTGCGTCAGGGCCCAGTTCCAAACCACACCCTACACACTGACTCAGCTGAGCGAGGCTCCTCCTGTCAGACGGAGGATGTAAAAACAGCAAAAAGCTTTGGAACAAACTCCTTTCTCTCCGGCAGAAACAGGACATGCCGTAACTTTAGGTAACGACGCTTTCAAACCAGCGTCTCTTGGACAAAAACTCTAAATCAATAACTAAAATAAAAATCTAAAAATCTGTAATTGTGTTTCTTTTTTGTAAATAAACTCCATAATAAAATGCACACATTTACCGTTCTCTGGACTGAACACAGGTACACGATCCTAAGTTAAAAAAACATGAGGTTACCCTCAAGTTGTTAACATCTCGAAGTCGATATTAAATATATCTTGTTGTGCAGTTTATCTGTAAGCAGCGTGTGCATGTCAATGGTCTGCAAAGGCTCAAATCCCCGTTTTCTCAGAACTTGACTTTTCTGTTTGTTATTAGACTTTTTTTCAGAATGTGACATATTTTTAAGAATTTGTTGTTTTTCCGTAATTATACTTTTTTCTCAGAACTTTTGTCTTTTTAAAAAAAAAATTCTATAAATTTCACGTTTTTCCCAGAATTCATTTTTTGCGAATATCGCCTTCTTTCAGAACTTGGCTTTTTTTCTACCAATTTGCCCAAATTTTCCAATTTTTCTCAGAATTAATAATCATACACCTAACTGTTAGTGGTGCACGATAATTATCGGTCCGATAATAGGAATTATGACGTCATCCCGATACCAGTATTAATAGCGCCGATAATATACAATATATTTTTTGGGTAAAAAAAAAGAAAGAAATACTGCGGTGGGTGGATTGGGATGAGGGGCGCTTGTTTTTCACTCGGCTCCTCCCGTTTTGCCAGTACTGTGGTATTAGTGGTTTAGGAAGAGGGGAGTTCTTCACAAATCCAGCGCTCCCTAACTCGTGCCTGGCTGTGGCGTAAATGGTGTGCGGCCGTGAAGCCAGGACAGTAAACAAACATGTCGCCGGTGGTATGGGACTATTTCAAAGCTTCAGAGTTAGATAGTTCGCTTGCTATTTGTATTAACAAATGCAGAAGTTCCACGAGGAGGGAAAAAGGCAACGAGCTATAATACTTCCAACCTGATTAGTCACCTGAAACATCGCCATCGCTACGATGGTGTGTTAAAAGCGTACGAAGACGCCTGCGCTGCTAAACTAGCGGCGAATCCAAAGCCAGCTGCAAAGGCACCGGGGCTTTTACCGATCCACGAGGCTTTTGGAAAAGGCAAGAAGTTTGCCAGAGACGACCCCAGGGCTAAAACGATCTCTAACTTCATCATAGAAATGATGGCGCTTGACGAGAGTCAAAACTGTTCTTGGCTTTGTTTTGTTCATAGTAGTAATGCTCACGTCATTTGCTCACTACTAGTCTTTGTTTTACCACCAGGTGTGCAAAAACTACACGTACATTTAATATATATATATATATTATATTATTATCGGTTATCTGTATCGGTCTTGAGAAGCAGGAAGTTATCGGTATCGGTTTCAAAAAACCAATATCGTGCATCCCTACTAACTGTCTTACACTTGTATGTGAACTCGGCCATCCTCTGCAGGTCTCCCAGCGCCGTGGACCCGCTCTTGTCGTCTTGCTCCACCAGCAGGTCCATCTCAGACTCGGTGAGGAACTCGGCCATGCCGCCCCGGCTCCTCCGCGCTCGTTTCCTCGGCACGGGCGACAGCGGCTCCATGTCCTCGTCCTCGTCCTCCACGATGGGCGTGAGGACGGGCGCGGTGCCCGTGAAGCGGCCCTCCATGGCGTCGTTCATGCGGTAGAACCAGGGCCAGGAGGAGGGGTTGGTCTCCACGCCGCGGGCGGGGAACTTCAGCTCCTGATGGAGACACAGAGCTGCTGTTACCATACACTCACAGCCACGTCTACTAGCCACAGAGCTGCCGTTACCATACACTCACAGCCACGTCTACGCTCTACAGAGCTGCCGTTACCATACACTCACAGCCACGCCTATGCTCTACAGAGCTGCCGTTACCATACACTCACAGCCACGCCTATGCTCTACAGAGCTGCCGTTACCATACACTCACAGCCACGTCTACGCTCCACAGAGCTGCCGTTACCATACACTCACAGCCACGTCTACCAGCCACAGAGCTGCTGTTACCATACACTCACAGCCACGTCTACGCTCTACAGAGCTGCCGTTACCATACACTCACAGCCATGTCTACCAGCTACAGAGCTGCTGTTACCCTACACTCACAGCCACGTCTACGCTCTACAGAGCTGCTGTTACCATACACTCACAGCCACGCCTATGCTCTACAGAGCTGCCGTTACCATACACTCACAGCCATGTCTACAGAGCTGCCGTTACCATACACTCACAGCCATGTCTACCAGCCACAGAGCTGCCGTTACCATACACTCACAGCCATGTCTACCAGCCACAGAGCTGCTGTTACCATACACTCACAGCCACGTCTACGCTCTACAGAGCTGCTGTTACCATACACTCACAGCCACGCCTATGCTCTACAGAGCTGCCGTTACCATACACTCACAGCCATGTCTACAGAGCTGCCGTTACCATACACTCACAGCCATGTCTACCAGCCACAGAGCTGCCGTTACCATACACTCACAGCCATGTCTACAGAGCTGCCGTTACCATACACTCACAGCCACGTCTACGCTCTACAGAGCTGCCGTTACCATACACTCACAGCCACGTCTACAGAGCTGCCGTTACCATACACTCACAGCCACGTCTACGCTTCAGAGCTGCCGTTACCATACACTCACAGCCACGTCTACGCTCTACAGAGCTGCCGTTACCATACACTCACAGCCACGTCTACGCTCCACAGAGCTGCCGTTACCATACACTCACAGCCACGTCTACGCTCCACGTACCATACACTCACAGCCACGTCTACGCTCTACAGAGCTGCCGTTATCATACACTCACAGCCACGTCTACAGAGCTGCCGTTACCATACACTCACAGCCACGTCTATAATCTACAGAGCTGCTGTTACCATACACTCACAGCCACGTCTACGCTCCACAGAGCTGCCGTTACCATACACTCACAGCCACGTCTACGCTCTACAGAGCTGCCGTTACCATACACTCACAGCCACGTCTACGCTCTACAGAGCTGCTGTTACCATACACTCACAGCCACGTCTACGCTCTACAGAGCTGGCGTTACCATACACTCACAGCCACGTCTACGCTCTACAGAGCTGCCGTTACCATACACTCACAGCCACGTCTACGCTCTACAGAGCTGCTGTTACCATACACTCACAGCCACGCCTATGCTCTACAGAGCTGCCGTTACCATACACTCACAGCCATGTCTACCAGCCACAGAGCTGCTGTTACCATACACTCACAGCCACGTCTACGCTCTACAGAGCTGCTGTTACCATACACTCACAGCCACGTCTACAGAGCTGCCGTTACCATACACTCACAGCCACGTCTACGCTTCAGAGCTGCCGTTACCATACACTCACAGCCACGTCTACGCTCTACAGAGCTGCCGTTACCATACACTCACAGCCACGTCTACGCTCCACAGAGCTGCCGTTACCATACACTCACAGCCACGTCTACGCTCTACAGAGCTGCCGTTATCATACACTCACAGCCACGTCTACAGAGCTGCCGTTACCATACACTCACAGCCACGTCTATAATCTACAGAGCTGCTGTTACCATACACTCACAGCCACGTCTATAATCTACAGAGCTGCTGTTACCATACACTCACAGCCACGTCTACGCTCTACAGAGCTGCCGTTACCATACACTCACAGCCACGTCTACGCTCCACAGAGCTGCCGTTACCATACACTCACAGCCATGTCTACAGAGCTGCCGTTACCATACACTCACAGCCACGTCTACGCTCTACAGAGCTGCCGTTACCATACACTCACAGCCACGTCTACAGAGCTGCCGTTACCATACACTCACAGCCACGTCTACAGAGCTGCCGTTACCATACACTCACAGCCACGTCTACGCTTCAGAGCTGCCGTTACCATACACTCACAGCCACGTCTACGCTCTACAGAGCTGCCGTTACCATACACTCACAGCCACGTCTACGCTCCACAGAGCTGCCGTTACCATACACTCACAGCCACGTCTACGCTCCACGTACCATACACTCACAGCCACGTCTACGCTCTACAGAGCTGCCGTTACCATACACTCACAGCCACGTCTACGCTCTACAGAGCTGCCGTTATCATACACTCACAGCCACGTCTACAGAGCTGCCGTTACCATACACTCACAGCCACGTCTATAATCTACAGAGCTGCTGTTACCATACACTCACAGCCACGTCTACGCTCTACAGAGCTGCCGTTACCATACACTCACAGCCACGTCTACGCTCCACAGAGCTGCCGTTACCATACACTCACAGCCACGTCTACGCTCTACAGAGCTGCCGTTACCATACACTCACAGCCACGTCTACGCTCTACAGAGCTGCTGTTACCATACACTCACAGCCACGTCTACGCTCTACAGAGCTGGCGTTACCATACACTCACAGCCACGTCTACGCTCCACAGAGCTGCCGTTACCATACACTCACAGCCACGTCTACGCTCTACAGAGCTGCCGTTACCATACACTCACAGCCACGTCTACGCTCTACAGAGCTGCTGTTACCATACACTCACAGCCACGCCTATGCTCTACAGAGCTGCCGTTACCATACACTCACAGCCATGTCTACCAGCCACAGAGCTGCTGTTACCATACACTCACAGCCACGCCTATGCTCTACAGAGCTGCCGTTACCATACACTCACAGCCATGTCTACCAGCCACAGAGCTGCTGTTACCATACACTCACAGCCACGTCTACGCTCTACAGAGCTGCTGTTACCATACACTCACAGCCACGTCTACAGAGCTGCCGTTACCATACACTCACAGCCACGTCTACGCTTCAGAGCTGCCGTTACCATACACTCACAGCCACGTCTACGCTCTACAGAGCTGCCGTTACCATACACTCACAGCCACGTCTACGCTCCACAGAGCTGCCGTTACCATACACTCACAGCCACGTCTACGCTCCACGTACCATACACTCACAGCCACGTCTACGCTCTACAGAGCTGCCGTTATCATACACTCACAGCCACGTCTACAGAGCTGCCGTTACCATACACTCACAGCCACGTCTATAATCTACAGAGCTGCTGTTACCATACACTCACAGCCACGTCTACGCTCTACAGAGCTGCCGTTACCATACACTCACAGCCACGTCTACGCTCCACAGAGCTGCCGTTACCATACACTCACAGCCACGTCTACGCTCTACAGAGCTGCCGTTACCATACACTCACAGCCACGTCTACGCTCTACAGAGCTGCTGTTACCATACACTCACAGCCACGTCTACGCTCTACAGAGCTGCCGTTACCATACACTCACAGCCACGTCTACGCTCCACAGAGCTGCCGTTACCATACACTCACAGCCACGTCTACGCTCTACAGAGCTGCCGTTACCATACACTCACAGCCACGTCTACGCTCTACAGAGCTGCTGTTACCATACACTCACAGCCACGCCTATGCTCTACAGAGCTGCCGTTACCATACACTCACAGCCATGTCTACCAGCCACAGAGCTGCTGTTACCATACACTCACAGCCACGCCTATGCTCTACAGAGCTGCCGTTACCATACACTCACAGCCATGTCTACCAGCCACAGAGCTGCCGTTACCATACACTCACAGCCATGTCTACCAGCCACAGAGCTGCTGTTACCATACACTCACAGCCACGTCTACGCTCTACAGAGCTGCTGTTACCATACACTCACAGCCACGTCTACGCTCTACAGAGCTGCCGTTACCATACACTCACAGCCACGTCTACAGAGCTGCCGTTACCATACACTCACAGCCACGTCTACAGAGCTGCCGTTACCATACACTCACAGCCACGTCTACCAGCTACAGAGCTGCCGTTACCATACACTCACAGCCACGTCTACACTCTACAGAGCTGCCGTTACCATACACTCACAGCCACGTGTACGCTCTACAGAGCTGCCGTTACCATACACTCACAGCCACGTCTACACTCCACAGAGCTGCCGTTACCATACACTCACAGCCACGTCTACACTCCACAGAGCTGCTGTTACCATACACTCACAGCCACGTCTACGCTCCACAGAGCTGCCGTTACCATACACTCACAGCCACGTCTACGCTCTACAGAGCTGCCGTTACCATACACTCACAGCCACGTCTACGCTTCAGAGCTGCCGTTACCATACACTCACAGCCACGTCTACGCTCTACAGAGCTGCCGTTACCATACACTCACAGCCACGTCTACGCTCCACAGAGCTGCTGTTACCATACACTCACAGCCACGTCTACGCTTCACAGAGCTGCCGTTACCATACACTCACAGCCACGTCTACGCTCTACAGAGCTGCCGTTACCATACACTCACAGCCACGTCTACGCTCTACCAGCTAGAGCTGCCGTTACCATACACTCACAGCCACGTCTACGCTCCACAGAGCTGCTGTTACCATACACTCACAGCCACGTCTACGCTCTACAGAGCTGCCGTTACCATACACTCACAGCCACGTCTACAGAGCTGCCGTTACCATACACTCACAGCCACGTCTACCAGCTACAGAGCTGCTGTTACCATACACTCACAGCCACGTCTACGCTCCACAGAGCTGCTGTTACCATACACTCACAGCCACGTCTACGCTCCACAGAGCTGCCGTTACCATACACTCACAGCCACGTCTACGCTCTACAGAGCTGCCGTTACCATACACTCACAGCCACGTCTACGCTCCACAGAGCTGCTGTTACCATACACTCACAGCCACGTCTACGCTCCACAGAGCTGCCGTTACCATACACTCACAGCCACGTCTACCAGCTACAGAGCTGCTGTTACCATACACTCACAGCCACGTCTACGCTCCACAGAGCTGCCGTTACCATACACTCACAGCCACGTCTACGCTCCACAGAGCTGCTGTTACCATACACTCACAGCCACGTCTACACTCTACAGAGCTGCCGTTACCATACACTCACAGCCACGCCTACGCTCTACAGAGCTGCCGTTACCATACACTCACAGCCACGTCTACGCTCTACAGAGCTGCCGTTACCATACACTCACAGCCACGCCTACGCTCTACAGAGCTGCTGTTACCATACACTCACAGCCACGTCTACGCTCTACAGAGCTGCCGTTACCATACACTCACAGCCACGTCTACGCTCTACAGAGCTGCTGTTACCATACACTCACAGCCACGTCTACGCTCTACAGAGTTGCCGTTACCATACACTCACAGCCACGTCTACAGAGCTGACGTTACCATACACTCACAGCCACGCCTACCAGCTACAGAGCTGCTGTTACCATACACTCACAATCACGTCTACACTCCACAGAGCTGCCGTTACCATACACTCACAGCCACGTCTACGCTCTACAGAGCTGCCGTTACCATACACTCACAGCCACGTCTACGCTCTACAGAGCTGCTGTTACCATACACTCACAGCCACGTCTACGCTCTACAGAGTTGCCGTTACCATACACTCACAGCCACGTCTACAGAGCTGACGTTACCATACACTCACAGCCACGCCTACCAGCTACAGAGCTGCTTTTACCATACACTCACAGCCACGTCTACGCTCTACCAGCTAGAGCTGCTGTTACCATACACTCACAGCCACGTCTATGCTCTACCAGCTACAGAGCTGCTGTTACCATACACTCACAGCCACGTCTACGCTTCACAGAGCTGCCGTTACCATACACTCACAGCCACGTCTACGCTCTACCAGCTAGAGCTGCTGTTACCATACACTCACAGCCACGTCTATGCTCTACCAGCTACAGAGCTGCTGTTACCATACACTCACAGCCACGTCTACGCTCCACAGAGCTGCTGTTACCATACACTCACAGCCACGTCTACGCTCCACAGAGCTGCCGTTACCATACACTCACAGCCACGTCTACCAGCTACAGAGCTGCTGTTACCATACACTCACAGCCACGTCTACGCTCCACAGAGCTGCCGTTACCATACACTCACAGCCACGTCTACGCTCCACAGAGCTGCTGTTACCATACACTCACAGCCACGTCTACGCTCCACAGAGCTGCTGTTACCATACACTCACAGCCACGTCTACGCTCCACAGAGCTGCCGTTACCATACACTCACAGCCACGTCTACCAGCTACAGAGCTGCTGTTACCATACACTCACAGCCACGTCTACGCTCCACAGAGCTGCCGTTACCATACACTCACAGCCACGTCTACGCTCCACAGAGCTGCTGTTACCATACACTCACAGCCACGTCTACGCTCTACAGAGCTGCTGTTACCATACACTCACAGCCACGTCTACGCTCTACAGAGCTGCCGTTACCATACACTCACAGCCACGTCTACAGAGCTGCCGTTACCATACACTCACAGCCACGCCTACCAGCTACAGAGCTGCTGTTACCATACACTCACAGCCACGTCTACACTCCACAGAGCTGCCGTTACCATACACTCACAGCCACGTCTACGCTCTACCAGCTAGAGCTGCTGTTACCATACACTCACAGCCACGTCTACACTCCACAGAGCTGCTGTTACCATACACTCACAGCCACGTCTACACTCCACAGAGCTGCCGTTACCATACACTCACAGCCACGTCTACACTCCACAGAGCTGCCGTTACCATACACTCACAGCCACGTCTACACTCCACAGAGCTGCCGTTACCATACACTCACAGCCACGTCTACACTCCACAGAGCTGACGTTACCATACACTCACAGCCACGTCTACACTCCACAGAGCTGCCGTTACCATACACTCACAGCCACGTCTACGCTTCACAGAGCTGCCGTTACCATACACTCACAGCCACGTCTACGCTCCACAGAGCTGCCGTTACCATACACTCACAGCCACGTCTACACTCCACAGAGCTGCCGTTACCATACACTCACAGCCACGTCTACACTCCACAGAGCTGCCGTTACCATACACTCACAGCCACGTCTACACTCCACAGAGCTGCCGTTACCATACACTCACAGCCACGTCTACACTCCACAGAGCTGCCGTTACCATACACTCACAGCCACGTCTACACTCCACAGAGCTGCCGTTACCATACACTCACAGCCACGTCTACACTCCACAGAGCTGCCGTTACCATACACTCACAGCCACGTCTACACTCCACAGAGCTGCTGTTACCATACACTCACAGCCACGTCTACACTCCACAGAGCTGCTGTTACCATACACTCACAGCCACGTCTACGCTCTACCAGTTAGAGCTGCTGTTACCATACACTCACAGCCACGTCTACACTCCACAGAGCTGCCGTTACCATACACTCACAGCCACGTCTACACTCCACAGAGCTGCTGTTACCATACACTCACAGCCACGTCTACACTCCACAGAGCTGCTGTTACCATACACTCACAGCCACGTCTACACTCCACAGAGCTGCTGTTACCATACACTCACAGCCACGTCTACACTCCACAGAGCTGCCGTTACCATACACTCACAGCCACGTCTACACTCCACAGAGCTGCTGTTACCATACACTCACAGCCACGTCTACGCTTCACAGAGCTGCCGTTACCATACACTCACAGCCACGTCTACACTCCACAGAGCTGCCGTTACCATACACTCACAGCCACGTCTACACTCCACAGAGCTGCTGTTACCATACACTCACAGCCACGTCTACACTCCACAGAGCTGCCGTTACCATACACTCACAGCCACGTCTACACTCCACAGAGCTGCCGTTACCATACACTCACAGCCACGTCTACACTCCACAGAGCTGCTGTTACCATACACTCACAGCCACGTCTACACTCCACAGAGCTGCTGTTACCATACACTCACAGCCACGTCTACACTCCACAGAGCTGCCGTTACCATACACTCACAGCCACGTCTACACTCCACAGAGCTGCTGTTACCATACACTCACAGCCACGTCTACGCTCTACCAGCTACAGAGCTGCCGTTACCATACACTCACAGCCACTTGGAATTAGAATAGTTCATCTCTTCTCTAATGTGCAGTGCCTCGTCTCTCATGCTCCTGCAACACTAACATTTCCCACATTGGGATGAATAACGTCCGTCTGATCTGAGGGGGGCCTACCTTGTACCTCCTCTTCAGGTTGTCCCACTTCTTGGCCAGCTGCTCGGTGGTCAGCTTCCCCTGAAGACCCAGCTCGTACAGGATGGCTCTGAAAGACACGCAGGTTCAAGGACTGAAGACCGTGGACACAATCTATCTGAGGGGTGAGAGCTGTTACTAAGGACATGTCTCTGAAGTGTCCTGCTCCAAACCCCAAACAGATCCTTGTAGCCCCCCCCCCCCTCTCTTCCAGCTGTTACTAAGGACATGTCTCTGAAGTGTCCTGCTCCAAACCCCAAACAGGTCCTTGTAGCCCCCCCCCCTCTCTTCCAGCTGTTACTAAGGACATGTCTCTGAAGTGTCCTGCTCCAAACCCCAAACAGGTCCTTGTAGCCCCACCCCTCTCTTCCAGCTGTTACTAAGGACATGTCTCTGAAGTGTCCTGCTCCAAACCCCAAACAGGTCCTTGTAGCCCCCCCCCCTCTCTTCCAGCTGTTACTAAGGACATGTCTCTGAAGTGTCCTGCTCCAAACCCCAAACAGGTCCTTGTAGCCCCCCCCCTCTCTTCCAGCTGTTACTAAGGACATGTCTCTGAAGTGTCCTGCTCCAAACCCCAAACAGGTCCTTGTAGCCCCCCCCCCTCTCTTCCAGCTGTTACTAAGGACATGTCTCTGAAGTGTCCTGCTCCAAACCCCAAACAGGTCCTTGTAGCCCCCCCCCTCTCTTCCAGCTGTTACTAAGGACATGTCTCTGAAGTGTCCTGCTCCAAACCCCAAACAGATCCTTGTAGCCCCCCCCCTCTCTTCCAGCTGTTACTAAGGACATGTCTCTGAAGTGTCCTGCTCCAAACCCCAAACAGGTCCTTGTAGCCCCCCCCCTCTCTTCCAGCTGTTACTAAGGACATGTCTCTGAAGTGTCCTGCTCCAAACCCCAAACAGGTCCTTGTAGCCCCCCCCCCTCTCTTCCAGCTGTTCCTAAAGAGCTGACTCTGGGTCAGTAGCTTCAGAGAGAGAGTAGATCTCATCAGGAGAACTCTCCCAGCAGAAACTCAGCTAAATGCTGCCGTGATGAAACTCCACATCATGTTCCAAACCACATGGTGATGCAGAGAAGACATCAGAAAGTGCACTTTGCATGATAGGAGACCTTTAAGACTGGTGTGTAAAGTCAGACGAGATTATATTTTATTATCAAAAACACTTCATTATATTCCTTGTACACAAACTAAAAAGAGACCGAAATGAGTCTCACCTCCAGGCGGGTTTGGCGGAGTGTTTCCTTCCGGTGAACAGAGCCTCGTTTGCTGCTCGAAGTTTGATCATCCTCTCCGTTTCCGTTTCAGACACTGAGGAAACACAACAGCAGCAAATATTAAACCACTGAGACGAGAAATAAGGATTCAGAAGCAGAAACTATGTGTGAAAAGAGTCAGTTTTCTATCCGAGTTTGATTACAACCCGCTCAAGAGGAGGTAGGCTGGGAATCACCAGGCTCCCCACGATACGATGCTGTCGCGATACTTAAGCCACGATACGATGCTGTCGCGATACTTAAGCCACGATACGATGCTGTCGCGATACTTAAGCCACGATACGATGCTGTCGCAATACTTAAGCCACGATACGATGCTGTCGCGATACTTAAGCCACGATACGATACTGTCGCGATACTTGAGCCACGATACGATGCTGTCGCGATACTTGAGCCACGATACGATGCTGTCGCGATACTTAAGCCACGATACGATGCTGTCGCGATACTTGAGCCACGATACGATGCTGTCGCGATACCTGAGCCACGATACGATGCTGTCGCGATACTTAAGCCACGATACGATGCTGTCGCGATACTTAAGCCACGATACGATGCTGTTGCGATACTTACGCCACGATACGACGCTGTCGCGATACTTAAGCCACGATACGATGCTGTCGCGATACTTAAGCCACGATACGATGCTGTCGCGATACTTAAGCCACGATACGATGCTGTCGCGATACTTAAGCCACGATACTGTCGCGATACTTAAGCCACGATACGATGCTGTCGCGATACTTAAGCCACGATACTGTCGTGATACTTAAGCCACGATACGATGCTGTCGCGATACTTAAGCCACGATACGATGCTGTCGCGATACTTAAGCCACGATACGATGCTGTCGCGATACTTAAGCCACGATACGATGCTGTCGCGATACTTAAGCCACGATACGATGCTGTCACGATACTTAAACCACGATACGATGCTGTCGCGATACTTAAGCCACGATACGATGCTGTCGCGATACTTAAGCCACGATACGATGCTGTTGCGATACTTAAGCCACGATACGATGCTGTCGCGATACTTAAGCCACGATACGATGCTGTCACGATACTTAAGCCGCGATGCTGTCGCGATACTTAAGCCATGATACGATGCTGTCGCGATACTTAAGCCACGATACGATGCTGTCGCGATACCTAAGCCACGATACGATGCTGTCGCGATACTTAAGCCACGATACGATGATGTTGCAATACTTAAGCCACGATACGATGCTGTCGCGATACTTAAGCCACGATACTGTTGCGATACTTAAGCCACGATAATGTTGCGATACTTAAGCCACGATACTGTCGCGATACTTAAGCCACGATACGATGCTGTCGCGATACTTAAACCACGATACGATGCTGTCGCGATACTTAAGCCACGATACGATGCTGTCGCGATGCTTAAACCACGATACGATGCTGTCGCGATGCTTAAGCCACGATACTGTTGCGATACTTAAGCCACGATACGATGCTGTCGCGATACTTAAGCCACGATACGATGCTGTCGCGATACTTAAGCCACGATACGATGCTGTCGCGATACTTAAGCCACGATACTGTCGCGATACTTAAGCCACGATACTGTTGCGATACTTAAGCCACGATACGATGCTGTCACGATACTTACGCCACGATACGATGCTGTCGCGATACTTACGCCACGATACTGCCGCGATACTTAAACCACGATACGATGCTGTCGCAATACTTAAGCCACGATGCGATACTTAAGCCACGATACGATGCTGTCGCGATACTTAAGCCACGATACGATGCTGTCGCGATACTTAAGCCACGATACGATGCTGTCGCGATACTTAAGCCACGATACGATGCTGTCGCGATACTTAAGCCACGATACGATGCTGTCGCGATACTTAAGCCACGATACGATGCTGTCGCGATACTTAAGCCGCGATGCTGTCGCGATACTTAAGCCACGATGCCATACTATCACGATACTTAAGCCACGATGCCATACTATCACGATACTTAAGCCACGATGCCATACTATCACGATACTTAAGCCACGATGCCATACTATCACGATACTTAAGCCACGATACGATACTATCACGATACTTAAGCCACGATACGATGCTGTCGCGATACTTAAGCATCCTGTTTACGTCACGTTGTTGTTTTGATTGATTGATTGAAAAGTGTATTAACAGCTTGTATATTGGGTACAGTACAGTACAGCTCAAAACATACAATTGTTAAGGGGATGCAGACCAGAGAAAGACTTTCGTCTTGTTTACATCAGGGTCCCCCATTTACGTCAGGAGACATCTTGTTTACGGGCGTCATGTTGTTCTTGATAGTTGACAGAAGTCTTAGGCCTCTCACGATAATTAATTTTGCTGGACGTTTTAAAATGTATTGCGATAAACGATAATATTGTCGTCACCGTTGTTAGACCACTGACATAATGATAATATATAATAATAATTCAAGTACATCCTTTTTTATTGAACATTGCAAATGAAATGTGAAATAATATTTAAATTATATATAATAAATAAAACAAATAAATAAAATTATAAAAATGTATTAAATAAATCACACAATAAATTAAATAGACTCAGGCTGGGAAACGGAGCTTGTGGCCAAAACACGCAATTGCATTTGTGAAAATAAAGTAAGTGGGGAGGGGGGGGGGCCGTGTTTGCTCCCAGCTGGGAAACGGAACGGGGTGGTTGTGTTTCAGGTGCAGTTTGAGGTTGATCGTATTGCTAGGTTTTGTCGCTACCTTTTTAAAACAAATGCAACACACCGCCTGGCTCATTCAAGTCTGTAGGTTCGCCTCGTTGATATGGCTTAAATCCAAAATATTCCCACACCGCAGATGTGGAGTTAGGTTTTGCAACCACTTCCATTTAACTTTGATTTCATTTCATTTTTATTTGTCCCGCTCATGGTACGCAAAACCAAATGTACAATAATTGCCACAAAACATGACTACCATTTAGAGAAAAGGAGCAGGGAGAAGAATAAAATCTTATGTGACCTGCCCCTTTCTAAAAAAAACAAATAAATACAAATGGATGGTCTGCCCTTCATAATAATAATATTTTTTTCACAGCCAAACATAACAGTATCTTAGGATACTAAGAGAAACACACAAAAAAAATACTTATTTCCCACTTGACGGTTAACGGAAAGAAACAAAACAACACCAAAACATCACATGTATAAGGAAAAGAAACTTCAAATTCCCCTCGAGTAAGTCACACGTTGTCTCCTGCTTGTCTCTATATTATTCATTTGGCTCCTACGCTGCTGCACACGGAGTGTCCTGACCGGCTGTGAGCCCCGCCCCTCACAGCGCGCCTGGCTGTGTGAGCCCCGCCCCTCACAGCGCGCCTGGCTGTGTGAGCCCCTCACAGCGCACCTGGCTGTGTGAGCCCCGCCCCTCACAGCGCACCTGGCTGTGTGAGCCCCGCCCCTCACAGCGCACCTGGCTGTGTGAGCCCCGCCCCTCACAGTGCACCTGGCTGTGTAAGCCCCGCCCCTCACAGCGCACTTGGCTGTGTGAGCCCCGCCCCTCACAGCGCACCTGGCTGTGTGAGCCCCGCCCCTCACAGCGCACCTGGCTGTGTGAGCCCCGCCCCTCACAGGGCACCTGGCTGTGTGAGCCCCGCCCCTCACAGCGCGCCTGGCTGTGTGAGCCCCGCCCCTCACAGCGCGCCTGGCTATGTGAGCCCCGCCCCTCACAGCGCACCTGGCTGTGTGAGCCCCGCCCCTCACAGCGCGCCTGGCTGTGTGAGCCCCGCCCCTCACAGCGCACCTGGCTGTGTGAGCCCCACCCCTCACAGCGCACCTGGCTGTGTGAGCCCCACCCCTCACAGCGCGCCTGGCTGTGTGAGCCCCGCCCCTCACAGCGCACCTGGCTGTGTGAGCCCCACCCCTCACAGCGCACCTGGCTGTGTGTGAGCCCCTCACAGCGCACCTGGCTGTGTGTGAGCCCCACCCCTCACAGCGCACCTGGCTGTGTGTGAGCCCCTCACAGCGCGCCTGGCTGTGTGAGCCCCACCCCTCACAGCGTACCTGGCTGTGTGAGCCCCACCCCTCACAGCGCACCTGGCTGTGTGAGCCCCACCCCTCACAGCGCGCCTGGCTGTGTGAGCCCCGCCCCTCACAGCGCACCTGGCTGTGTGAGCCCCCACCCCTCACAGCGCACCTGGCTGTGTGTGAGCCCCTCACAGCACGCCTGGCTGTGTGAGCCCCACCCCTCACAGCGCACCTGGCTGTGTGAGCCCCACCCCTCACAGCGCACCTGGCTGTGTGAGCCCCACCCCTCACAGCGCACCTGGCTGTGTGTGAGCCCCTCACAGCGCACCTGGCTGTGTGTGAGCCCCTCACAGCGCACCTGGCTGTGTGAGCCCCACCCCTCACAGCGCACCTGGCTGTGTGTGAGCCCCTCACAGCGCGCCTGGCTGTGTGAGCCCCACCCCTCACAGCGTACCTGGCTGTGTGAGCCCCACCCTCACAGCGCACCTGGCTGTGTGAGCCCCACCCCTCACAGCGCGCCTGGCTGTGTGAGCCCCCGCCCCTCACAGCGCACCTGGCTGTGTGAGCCCCACCCCTCACAGCGCACCTGGCTGTGTGTGAGCCCCTCACAGCACGCCTGGCTGTGTGAGCCCCACCCCTCACAGCGCACCTGGCTGTGTGAGCCCCACCCCTCACAGCGCACCTGGCTGTGTGTGAGCCCCCCTCACAGCACGCCTGGCTGTGTGAGCCCCACCCCTCACAGCGCACCTGGCTGTGTGAGCCCCACCCCTCACAGCGCACCTGGCTGTGTGAGCCCCACCCCTCACAGCGCACCTGGCTGTGTGTGAGCCCCTCACAGCGCACCTGGCTGTGTGTGAGCCCTCTCACAGCGCGCCTGGCTGTGTGAGCCCCACCCCTCACAGCGCACCTGGCTGTGTGAGCCCCACCCCTCACAGCGCACCTGGCTGTGTGAGCCCCACCCCTCACAGCGCACCTGGCTGTGTGTGAGCCCCTCACAGCGCACCTGGCTGTGTGTGAGCCCCTCACAGCGCGCCTGGCTGTGTGAGCCCCACCCCTCACAGCGCGCCTGGCTGTTGTGAGCCCCGCCCCTCACAGCGCACCTGGCTGTGTGAGCCCCACCCCTCACAGCGCACCTGGCTGTGTGTGAGCCCCTCACAGCACGCCTGGCTGTGTGAGCCCCACCCCTCACAGCGCACCTGGCTGTGTGAGCCCCACCCCTCACAGCGCACCTGGCTGTGTGTGAGCCCCTCACAGCACGCCTGGCTGTGTGAGCCCCACCCCTCACAGCGCACCTGGCTGTGTGAGCCCCACCCCTCACAGCGCACCTGGCTGTGTGAGCCCCACCCCTCACAGCGCACCTGGCTGTGTGTGAGCCCCTCACAGCGCACCTGGCTGTGTGTGAGCCCCTCACAGCGCGCCTGGCTGTGTGAGCCCCACCCCTCACAGCGCACCTGGCTGTGTGAGCCCCACCCCTCACAGCGCACCTGTGTGTGAGCCCTTTGATCTGATTGGATGATTTGAATGAATTCTCTCTCCCTATTTAACCCTTTAGAGATCTGGGCCAACAAATATATTTCCGTATCAACTTTAAAACCACGTATCTACGGTTTCACTGGGTCGCACGGAACAAAGACTGGCATAGAGTTTCAAGCCAGTACTTTCGACAGCAGTAGCTGTCAATGTCGGCCCGACTGTTGTTTTGATGCGGTGCCGGCTTGAACAGGTCACATGATCACGGTCGACTCCTAAGGGTTAATGAAATTATGTGTATTTTGATATCTTATAAACAAGATCAGTGACACAGGACTCATACTAGATATTTCTAGAAACCCCCCTGAAGGCCCTTTGATCTGATTGGATGATATGAATGAATTCCCTCTTTAATGAAATGATCTGTATTCTGGGATCTTTTTCCATCTCCTTACTTTTGTAAGAGCACTCACTCATCCTCCTCCAGCCCATCGGCACCCCCTCAGTGGGAGCAGCGTCCCCGTGCAGCGTCCCATCATGCACTGCTGCTTCCTGCGCCACCGTGTCCTCCATCTCCGTCTTGATGAGGAACTCCAGGATGTCGGTGTTCTCCTGGCTCTGGTTCTGGGTCTGGCTGTGGCTCTGGTTCTGGGTCTGGTTGTGGGTCTGGTTCTGGGTCTGGCTGTGGCTCTGGTTCTGGTTGTGGCTCTGGTTGTGGCTCTGGTTCTGGGTCTGGCTGTGGTTCTGGTTCTGGGTCTGGCTGTGGTTCTGGGTCTGGCTGTGGCTCTGGGTCTGGTTCTGGCTGTGGGTCCCGTCCAGGCTGAGCACCAGGCTGCTGTTGAAGAGGCGTCCGTGCATCGCCTCGTCCATGATGTGGAACCAGGGCCACGACTCCACCGCCCCCCCCAGGCTGTCCTGACCCTGGTACGGCTGCTTCAGGTCCTGAAAACACACACGTTTATTCATACAACAGCTTTCAACACAAGGCATATATTATAGGTCTCAGACATATGAAAATATATTAAAAACATGAAATCAGAGTTAACTATATTCCCCGCGAATATCAAGCAGTATTTGCACATGAGCAGTGTCTCAGTGAACCCTCCTCACCTTGTATTTAGTCCGCAGGTTGTCCCACTTCTTGGCGATCTGGTCGGGCGTCAGCTTCCCCTCCAGACCGAGACCCTTCAGGATGGTGCTGAGGAACAGACAGAGCGTCACCAGAGGACACATCAGCACAGGAGATCATCACTTACTGCATTTAAACACTGCAGTGGTTGTCCATCCCACGCAGGCAGACAAAGGCCTCAGATCTGTAGTTAGGAACATTACCTGGATCCAGCAGCAGACACGTTCCCGCGCCATGGACAGAATATTACAGTGACTGTTATTTTGTGTTTATTGATTGTTGTGTTTTTATTTACAGGGTTCCTGCAGGTTTCACCAACTCAAAGTTAAGACTTTTTAAGACCACTTTGAATAGAATTTAAGACCTATTTCACGGCAAGAAAGTATAAAGGAGAATTGCTTTGAAAGATGAAATACGTCAATGTATTACTTTGCAGCCGTGATCGCAACACATTAGTAACCTTCAAATCCCATCATTTAAGACCTTCAGAATCATATTTAAGAACTTTCTTGTTTTTATTTATCATATTTAAGACTTTTGCACACATTTTGATATACATTTGTTTTTATATTCAGGATTTTGTGAACCGGTATTTCGATCTCTCTCTGTGTACACACACACAGGTTGTTGATGTTGCGTTTGTTTAACTTGATCTGAGTGCAAAAGATCAACACACACAACACACACACACACACACACACACACACACACAACACACACACACACACACACACACACACACACACACAACACACACACACACACACACACACACACACACACACACACACACACACACCACACACACACACACACACACACACACACAACACACACACACACACAACACACACACACACACACACACACACACACACACACACACACACACACACACACACACACACCTCCACGCTAACTTGGCAGAGTTCCTCTTCCCGGTGAACAGCGCCTCGTTGGACGCCCTGAGCTCGATCAGCCTCTTCACGTCCTCCTCGGTCACTGCAGGTCAGAGGTCAGAGGTCAGGGTCAGTACATCTACAGTGTATCAATAAAGTAAATATTAACTTATCTTACGACCCCCGCCCATTCAGTTCCTACAACAATACTCACTTTTATAGGAGTTTTCTGGGAACTGCGGGTTCAGGGCCATTGTGATCATGGAAGAAGATGAAGATGAAGAAGCTCCTTATTCCTGCTCCAGCGAGGGAGGAAGAGGGGAAGGAAAGGAAACGAGGAGGGGTGGAATTGTGCTCAACACGGCTGTAAAAAGAGAACTGGACCCAGCCTTGTTCAGTCCTGTGAAGCTGCTCAGTGCTGCATGAAGCCAGAAATGGAGCGACTGTAGATCCAGAAAGGACCCGGATGTGGGCCCACTGAGCATGCGCAGTTCAGTTTTCCCTTAGGCCCCGCCTCCGGTCTCCAGCTCTCTGTCAGTCAGATGAATGGAGAAATAAATCAGGATTCTGCTTTTAGAGGATTTTTTTTAGGCCGAGTGACGTCACGGACTGGTGTAGTACCGCCGGTTGGCCACTAGGTCATTCCAAATATGGGATTCAACCTACAGCGCACTTCCTGGTGCTTCTGATATTCGCCTGTAGTACAGTTTGATTTAACTTGGGACTATTTAAGGTCATTTTGCTGAAGCTAAGTGTAGGAATACTTCAAAATGTTCCTCAAGTGAAAGTATAAAGTATTCTCATCTAAATATAGTTAAAGACAGTAAAAGTAGTCGTTGTGCAGATTGGT